GGCGCCCTTTTTTTTTTTTTTTTTTTTTTTTTTTTTTTTTTTTTTTTTTTTTTTTTTTTCTTTAGGATGCTGGAGCCATTAAAACTCTGAAAGTTGGATGTAACACAGACTTCATCTCTAGAGTACTTACATTAGTTGATTCAATTAAATAAATACAGTTTATGCCTCTGGGCAGACTGTGGTGCATTCCTGATGCAACAAAGCTGTGTGTACTCTGCTCTGAAGACACTCCTTGGCACTGAGCTGAACCCAGTCCTGTCTGTCTAAAATAGCTCTAAGTAACGGGTTTGTCATGTGCTTCAGTGCTAATTTAGGTAACAGAAGAGACCTGTAACATATGGGTCTTCCACATCTCATCTCCATGAGGACAAGGCCCTAAGTGTGCACACAGTCAGCTGGACTGACATTTTTTGGAAATGCATGGTTAAGTGTGTCTGTGTTCCATGGCTGCCCCAGGAGCAAAGGTTGCAGAGTTTAGGCTGTCAAGAGTAAGCTCCTTGATTTCCATCAACTTTGTTTCTAGGCAGCAACATGTCAGGCTACATGCTGTAGGCTGTGGACCTTGAGAATTGTTTCAGTGCTAACATCTGCCTTCCAGCAAAAAAAATCTGCAAAATTTCTTTCTTACTGTTGATACGATGGATAAGAGTCAGATGGGTTTTTGTTTACCTTGTGACTTTGAGGGCTTGTGTCCCTGGCAGTCACCTGATTGGTGAGGAGCAGGTTTGTGCTGAAAATACCAAAGGGTCCTGATGTTTAAAAATAATTCTGCTCTTTCCAGAGCAGAATAAGGCCTGCAATAATACAAATACTGTTTTAAAAGAGCGAATACATCTGTGTGTAACTATTAACCATTGTTAATTAAGCAAGTTATGTTTAGTTATTAACTGCAGTAGTTGTGATCTGACTTGGTATCACAATGTGATTTCTTTAGTCCAAATTTCACTTTTGTGATTAACTGAAGCTAATTGTTTGGGCATTTCTCTCACAAAGACAGTTGTAATCTGTAGTGGAATTAACCTGACAGTAGTCTATGCGCATCAGTGGCCAAATCCCCTTCCACCTGCTGTCTTACCTGCAGGGATACAGATGAATTACGAAGACCTGAAACTCTAAATTTGATGCAGGACAGAGAGCATCACCAAGTACTAAGGAATTATGTGGACAGGACAGAGAGGTAGGGAAAAAGAAACAGAGTGTTTCTGCAGATTCATTTTATTATTTTCCCCTCCCTCAAATAACCATACTATCCTCTAAATGAGGATCATGTGAGAAATTCCTGGTTTGGTTATTCTTAGAGAATGGGTATAAAGTACTCAGTGTCTCAATGTAGTAGGCCAAATGTACAATCCCACTGGTACATCTTGTGCTGTAAAAAAATGTTATTGCAATTCAGGAGAAGAAATAGAAATTACTTCACAAAATCTGTCATTCATAGTGAGTTAAATCATCAACACAGCTGTTAATAGACACTTACTCTTCTGATTTGATCAGATGCTTGTATGTCACTGACAATTCATGTTTGCAAAATTTTTATATTTAAGCTTAAAAGTCTACTTACTCTCTGTTTTTGCATTTGTCAGACCCCTGCCTGATTCACCTTATTTTCTCTCGCTATCAAGTCACCACACCCAGGTAACACATAGAATTCAAATAGTTTTGAATGAGTTTGTGGCAAAACCAAACTGATGTTATCCATAAGACACGGGGTGTTTCTCCATAACCCATCTGCAGCTCTGACTTCACAGCCTGATGCCCTGTTTGATTGCAGGTGCCCAACACAGATTCTGAGCTGCACCGCCGGCACATCGAGCGCACCCGTCGGGAGGCCCAGCTGGCAGCCCTTCAGTACGAGGAGGAGAGGATGAGAACTAAGCAGATTCAGAGAGAAGCTGTCCTTGACTTTGTTAAGGTGCCTCCTTTTAGTACCTACTTCATACTTTATCTTTTCTAAATCCCTTAATTATAACTAATTGCCATGTTAATTACTGCTTGTATGTTATGCTCCTGACACTTTATAAGGAATTTGGACAAATAGCATTTAAGTCCCTTAAGTGTTGATGCTGTAGCTTAACACAGGCAAAGCTAGAACTGGGGAATAAGATGGAAGATTTACCCAAAATGTGATTGTTGAAAAGAATTCTGATTTTTGCATATTTTACCTAATTTTCTCAATTTTCATTTGCATAGATGTGATGGGATTGGTTTAAGAAAGAAGAGGCCTTTATCCGAGTAGGCATAGAGGCAGTTTAATTTTGAAGACAGATTTGGCAGGGAGTAAATAATCATACACACAAAAATATAATGCTGCCTCATCTATTTTGCTATTTTGTGATAATAAAATAAGTTCTGTAAAGTGTGGGTGCAGACCTATGGTACATCAGGCACTCATTCTGAGCACTGTCTTCACTGTCTGTGCATTCAATATGAAGTCTTCTGCTTAACATGCCAGTTTATTTATATGATAGTTGATTTAAATTTGTTTTACTGATTGCTGCTCTGGTCACTTACCTGAATCTCACCATCACAAATGTAAGAAATGTTATCGTTAATATTTATTTTGGGTTTAGGGTGGTCTGCAGAGAGGCAAAGGGTGGTTTACTGCTTATATTTAATGTATAAAGTTAGTTTAGAAAAAGGGTCTTAGCTGCCTGAAACTAGGCTTTTCATAGCAACAACTATTACCAAGCCCCTGGCACTATTTTGTAGTAAAGCTGCTTATTAAAGATTCAGCTCAGTCTTTTAGTTAAAAATTAAGCTTATAGGATGCATGTTGTTCACTGATGAGTCTCCTGGGGTTTTTGGTTTGGGTTTGATTTTTGGGTATTTTTCATCTGTTTCCTTTCTTATTCATGACAGCTTTATTCTCAGCAGTTAAATTCCTCCCTTGGGTTGTATTTTGGGTTCATTATGCATCTTTCATATGCATAATTAGAAATTTTTGGTTGTTTGAATGTGGAATAAAGGCTGCTTTTTTACTGATATCAGGGAAGTTTCAGCTCAGTGAAATTTGCAGTTTTCCCAATGCATGTTCTATTTAAAAATTAAGACTTCTGATTTAAAACACTTTCAAGTTATGCTGGTTTGTTCTGAGCTTTTGTTTCTTTATGAAATTATTTTAAATTTAATTTTTTCTTTTTCTGTGTAGCAAAAAGCCTCCTTAAGTCCTCAGAAACAAAGTCCAATGGATAGTGAGGTAAGAGTCTGATAAGAGCATTAGTAGGGATGTCAGCTCTTAAATTCTTAGCTCTCCATCAAAGTTATTTTCCTCATTGTGGGGTAAACACCTCAAGACTGGGTTATAGCATAGTTTTTTCACATATTATTAAGCCTTGGCTGGGTTTTTTTAATGGGGTCAGTCTACTTTTCTTTTGTTCATGTAGATTGCTTGTCCAAGTGTGTTGTTTTATTGTTTTTTGTACTTCTTCTATGTTCTCTGCAGAAAATACATTTAATGTTCCATTTTAACCTGCTCCTTGTGAGCAGTATAGTTTATATTCTGACAGGAGTGTTCAGTCAAGTTACAGTGCTACAGTCATCCTTCACAGATCAGTTTTTCTCCTGGTTTCCTGTTATTAGATCACCAGTTGTCCCAGAAATATTAAGTTTTACAATTTTGAGGGTTGTCACAAAAAGGAATAAATAGTTTTTAAGTTTGTTTTTTTTTTCTACTATAGTTTTATAGTAATATAGTTTCCATAATCAAAACCAGGAATACAAATCATACAAAGCTCAGTCTTCTAGAATATACAGAGCTGAGCCAATGACATCTGTTCACTCTCTGCATCAGATTTCTGCATAGTGACAGCTCTTCCACTGGTTGCCATCCCCACTTTCGTCCAGAGAAAGATAATTCACTTGGTAGTGTTAATCAGATCAAAACTTCCAATATAATAACAAATATGATAGTTCTTTAGCAGCATTTTCCAACTAACTCATGTTAAAAAATTACCAAAACATGGGGTAATTGAAATAGTTTTTGCTCCTCTTTCTTCTTAATGTTTTTCTGTTCTTAATTTATTCTTCTAAAAGGTTCTTTGTTCTACCAGAGTAAGCACTGTGAATGCGTAGTGTTCTGTATTTACTTGACACAAGACAGAAAGCAGAATAATTGATTCCTTAAGCAGTACAACTGCGCTGTAATTCCTGGGTCACGTGGCTGTGTATTCCTACAGAGTTACAGATACTTCATGGATTGTTTTAAAGAGCCTCACAGTGCTATAAGCAAGCAGTACATGTTCCAAAATGTCTGTCTGTTCGCATACCGTGTTTCTGACATTGTGTGTGTTTCTGACATTGCTCCATCTCTCCCACCTCCCAGTGTCCCTTTCCATCCAGAAGGTCTCAGCATACTGATGATAGTGCCTTGTTAGTGGTAAGATCCTGCACGTAATGGCCTTTTTCTGTAGCAGATTCTAGAGCATAGAAATGACAACATGTTATGATTGTCTCAGATTAGACCAACTGTTTTAGAGCTAATCTAAATAGCATAAAACATGACCATCTCCTTTGAAAAGTAGCTTAGGTATGAGCTATGATGTTATGAATATGTCAACACTTTTGCTGTCAGACATTTGCTAATAATACTATGATGTTTTTCTACAATATAATTAAATCTTATATTTTGTTTAAGAGCAGAAGAAAGTTACTGATAGTAAGGAACAGTTTCTGAAGTGAAAAATTCATCTCTAGTTGTTCTGGTTTGATTTCTTCTCTATTCAGCTTGCTTTTTGATGTGCTCTGCAGTGCCAAGTAAGCAATTTTAATGCTTTATAGAATACAGCCTTCTATTTTAACTTTGTCTATGTCCTGCACATGGGGGTTAGAAATACTTGGCACAAGAAAAAAAGTGTTCTACTTGTGAATGCTACAAATCATGAAATACTCCTCATACAGTTTTATTGTTTATTAGTGCAAATGTCTTAAAATAATTTCTTTTGAACACTTACCAAAAATAAAAACATGTATGCACATGATTCATGTTTTATGCTATTTCTTCCTTTGTGGCATCTTAGCAATGTAGCATAACTAAAAATCTAATTAATGTCATCATCCATGTCTAGAAAATTAAGAATGCACCTGATTTGCCTGCTGTTGCATGAGTGCATGCCTAGAATTTATTTTCTTGATTTATGTGCTTCCATTATCTGCCTAAATTTTCTTTAGGCGGTGCTCTTGATTAGAGTGTCTCTCTCCTCAGTGTGTTGGTCAAGATGTTTACTATGTCTTTATTCAGACTTTTTGGGTTCTCTGCTTTCATAAGACTAGCACTTTGTGGGTGAGAAAGAAAGCTTAAAATGTTAGAGAGAAATTTAATAATCATGTTGCTGTTTAGAGAACTCCCTATCAATGAGCATATTAAAATGTGCTTTCATAGTTAGGTCATAAAAGCAAGAGAACAGTAGTTTGGGTTGAGATGATTTTCTGTTGTCAGTGAATTTGTCTTTGGAACATACTTTAAAGACACCTGTAAGAACCCCATTTCTATTTGATTTAGTGAACACATGATTGACTTTTGTTGCAAATTAAGATACAGAATTTTCAGAAACTACCTTGAAACTGGCTTCCATTGCTATTTGTTTCCTTTTTTGTCTTTAACCAAGTTAAAGACATTCTTTAACTTCACAAAAAGAGTGACCAGGC